CTTTGGATTTGAGACTTTAGTCTTTGCAACTTTACAGATCTTATTTATGCACCAAGAGCTTGTAAAATCGCATCATATGACCCCTTTAATGAATTAGTTATTATGAGGGTTTCCATTTGAAGCACATTATTTCATCTGAGGATGTGAACAACTCAATGTTTTTATTTATTTTTTTTTTATTATTATTATGATAATTCCAAGTTGACATGAAGCTGCACAATATTTTGTTATGTGGAAACCAATCACATTTCCTTGTGGGCGGGGCTACCTACTTAAAAACAGGATGTGTAAAAAACTTTACGTAGAAAATTAGCTTTTATTGTTTTCTCTGGTTTCACACCTGGTTAGGACAGTGTTAAGGACCGTTCACACCTAGAACAATAACTAAAATGATAAAGAAATCTATAACGATAACTATATTAGCATCCACACCCATGTACAATATCATTATGTTTATTATAAGCATGTGCTGCAGTTCTGGTGTCTGCCACTGTAAAAGCTTGAGTAATTTAAAGCAGGATGGATTCTGATTGGCTGTCAATGTTTTTAATGTTCATCAGCTGAGAAAAAAAAAAATTGAAAGTGATTCCAACATATCCTTTCTCTGTTCTGTTATTGCTATAATTGCGGTGACTCTGGTATTCTTTTAAATTTAGAATGATTTTTACAACTATAACTTTATAGTTATCATCCTTGGTGTGAATGGGCCTTTACTGAAATACCTTTTTCTTTTGCAGTGCATTGCAACTTGAAAATGCATTACAATGTAAAAAATATATGGCTAGGCCAATAAGCATAATTTCGTTGAAGTGATGTCTGGCAAAGTTCATATATTACATCAAATATAAAGAAAATAAAGAAGACACTCTTTCTTCTCCAAGTCATCTAACAAGCAACCCTTCTTCGTGTCATTTACAGTACTAACCCTCTGTGTCATTTCTCTCTTTTCTCAGCTGTGTTGAATATTAGCACCTCAGTTAGTCACAACTTTGCAAATATCAGCTGGATTCCAGGCACAGAGCAGACGGAGTCAGAGTTATATGTTGCCTTTATGAACAACCGTAAGCTTTTCTTACTGTTCTCCATCCTTGTTCTTGTAAATGAAACCTTGAGTTTCAATAGTGTTTCTCACTCTTGTCTAAATTCTCCATAGTGTTTGTGTAGTCACAGTAAATTCAATCAAAAATAAAAGTCCATTTGTGATTTGTCTTTAGAGCATTATCATAGATTTAGAAGTAGATATATAGATTTATAATAATAATTTATAGCATATATATAAAATATAATTATTAAGGCTGTCAACTGTTTGTTTTTTTTTTTTTTAGTAAATTACATAATATAATCTTGATGGAATTTACAGATACCTATAGGTTCAATTTTCAATTGAGTTACTTTTTTAAAAGTATTACTATTAAATGTATAACATGTTAATTTGGCAGCCATCATAATTTTTTTACCTCCCCCCATATACATAATTATGTGTATATATAGTACAGGTTTCTTAGTATACTAACACCACTTCACCCACTATGTACATCCTGTAGGTGAAGGTAACTGGAAGATTTCCGATGCGCTAAATTCTTCTAAGACTTTCCACATCATTGAAGGGCTCGAACCTGGGACTGAATACACAGTGCGTCTTATGACTAAAAGCTGGGTTGATAATTCTAGTATTTTTGAAGACGTTATCAGGACCAGTGCTAAAGGTGAGAAGAACGTAGTCTACCGAGATGACAGAAATGCAAAGCAAAATCGTCTTTTTCTCTTCTTTTCCCATCTCATCAAGAGTTCCGAGCAAAATCCTGTGATAAAATTGTCATGCGTGGTGTGCCTCATGTCCATCCCAGAGCATGTGTTCTGTGGATTTGATAAAAAGAATTATGCTTTATCAGCCTCTGCCATTGAGTAATTAGACATGCAGACTGGCAGTTTAATATTAATATTTGCACATTTCCATTCTAGAGTTTGCCTGGTGTCTCTCATTTAGTGTAAGATGTTCTCAGTGGATGTCAACATTCAATGAAGTGTCCTCAGGAAATGTCAAACTAAGAGAATGCTTTGTCTCTCACAGGTCTGGCCAGTATTCATGGAGGCATCTCCAACCAGGGCTGGTTCATCGGGCTCATGTGTGCCATAGCTCTGCTCACCCTCATAGTGCTCATAGCATGCTTTGTGAACCGAAATAAAGGCGGAAAGTACTCAGGTATTCTCTCACACAATGAAACAAATCAGTTGCTGCAGAAAATTGCAGAGTTCTTTTGTGAATCTGCTAAATAGCAGTCAGAAAACACTTGCAAATGTCTAAACTGTCTGGAGATTTTCTTTTAAGAATAAAAAAGCCAAAAGGTTTAACAAGAAGTAAAAAACACACTGAAAGTAAGACGGAAAAACATTGTATATCACATTCACACCTCGATCATCACAGTAGCACATGAAACATGTTAATGCGTTTATATTTGTGACCCTAGAGCACAAAACCAGTCTTAAGTCGCTGGGGTATATTTGTAGCAATAGCCAAAAATACATTGTATGGGTCAAAATTATAGATTTTTATTTTATGCCAAAAATCATTAGGATATTAAGTAAAGATCATGTTCCATGAAGATATTTTGTGTATCTCAGCCAAATATTGTCCAATCCTAACAAACCATACATCAGTGGAAAGCTTGTTTTTGAAAAATGTACACTTAAGTTTTGTGGTCCAGGGTCACATTTAGAACATTTTGCACATCTTCGTTGGGGACTGCAAATTGGGTTTGACTCAAGGTTCTACCCAATAACATTGTTGTTCTTCTAAACTGCTGTAACCTTTACAGCTGTGAAATTTTTCTAATTACTGTACAGAAACAGCATGAGCCAGATCTGTTCATTTACATGTGTTAAAATGAACTTGCAGATGTGCTTGCTGATGCAGTACAATTTTAATAATAATAATCTTAATGAATGAAAAAAGTTGACAGAACAGCTGGTATGAAATGTAGTTACAGGCTAACCTTAAATTACTTTTACGTACATATATGTATGTGTGTAAAGGAAATGTTGACTATTTACAGCATTTCCTGATAATTTCTTAATTTCTTGATTAATTAAATGCACGTTATACACACACACACACACACACACACACTGTTTAAAAGTTTGGGGCCAGTAAGATTTTTTTTTTTTAAGATATTAATACCTTTATTAAGAAAGTATGCTTTAAAATGATCAAATGTGACAATAAATACTTTTACTGTCTTCCAAATAAATAAATAAATATTACAGAAATATTGGGCAGCACAACTGTTTTCAATATTGATAATAATAAGAAACTTTTTTGAGCACCAAATCAGCATATTAGAATGATTTATGAAGGATCATATGGCACTGAAGATTAGACTAATAGCTGCTGAAAATTAAAATTCAGCTTTGCCATCACAGGAATAAATTGCAAAATATATATTAAATTAGAAAATATGTATTTTAACATGTAATATTAAACAATACTACTGCTTTTACTGTATTTTTGATAAATGCAGCCTTAAGACTTTTGTTAAAAACAAAAATTCTTACCAACCCCAAACTTTTGAATGATAGTGTATATATACACACACACACACACACACACACACACACACTCATGTTGTGTTTCCATGTTTTATGGGGACATTCCAGTGGCGTAATGGTTTTTATACTGTACAAACTGTATGTGCTATTGCCCTACACCAACCCTACCCCTAAACCTACCCCTTACAGGAAAGAAAGTGCATTTTTACTTTCTCAAAAAAACTAATTCTGTATGATTTATAAGCTTGTTTCCTCATGGGGACCTCAAAAATGTCCCCACAAGGTCAAAATTACTAGTATTACTATCCTTGTGGGACATTTGGTCCCCATAACGTGATAAATACCAGGTACACACACACACACACACACA